GGCCGTCTCCCTCCGGCTCAGGGCCGAGCCAGCGATCCGCTAGACACTGTCGCAGCCACGGCCCCGCCTCTGCCCGCCCCTTGCAGGCTCCACCCACTCCCAGGAGCCTCAGAGGCGGCCCCTGTTGTAGCCCCGCCCACTGCCGCCTTAGCCCGCCCATCGAGCCCGCCCCCACTGCCTCAGCCCCAGTCCTTGCTGGCTTGGCCCTCTTCCTGCCGCCTCTCAGAGGTGGCCGCTGTCTCACGTCCGCCTATGATATCCGCCAGCCAACACTTCAGTCCCACCCCTCTCCCCTGCGTCTGGAGCCTCCTCCCCCAGCAGAACTCCGCCCCCTTCCAGGCCTCTGGTGATGGCGCTGTCTCAGCCCCGCCTACTTTAGCCCCCACAATCACGCCCTTGTCTCCAAACTAGACACGCCCCTGACTTCTTACACATGGGGCCCGCCCCTGCTGTCTGAGCCCCGCCCCTCCCTGGCTCCCACAGCTGTCAATAAGCGTTTAGCTCCAACCTGCTTCCAGGTACAAAAGCAGGCAGCCACCAATATAGCCAGGCCCTGGTATGCACAGCCATGGCCCCAACCCTTTTCGTCCCAACTCGGTATTGCTTCCTCGACCAAGCCAATCCCCACCTTAGAGTCTGCCCTTCAAGTTTACTCCTACCTTCTGCCCACTGGCACAGCCCCATCTCCTGATTGGAAGGTAGTGCCCTGGGGAATGTCTTTAAGGAATCCACCGGAAGCCTGAGGGTCTGAACTGTTATTCTGATTCTGTGCATATTGCCACCCCCAAGGCCCCGCCCACCCTCAGGGCCCCCATTGTGTTCACAGGAAACTTGGCTTAAAACTCATTGTCCCTTTCTTTAATTAATATTCTTATGCAATGCCACCAAACACACATGCCTGCCCTTTCTTTTTGGGTTTACTGGCTGATGTATTTTGCTTGATTGGTTGTCCTTTCTTTAACCCAAGGTGGTTTGTAAGCACATCTCTTAATCATAAGGCGCTCAGGTGGCACTATGGAGTAAGCGTTAGACTGCTATTGAAGGGTGGGGTTCAAAGCCACCAGCCATTCATAGGGAGAAAGGTGAGGCTTTCTGCGGCTGTAAATTTAGTCTCTAAAATCCAGTACAGGATTGATCACTCACTATGAGTTGGAATCAACTTGATGGCCAATGGGTTTGGTTTTGAGGTTCCCTTTTACTCATTGTTTGCCCTAGATGCTGCACAGGGTTTTTGTTTGCCATTGTTCTAAGGCCTTTCTAGCTAGAGTGCCTAGGAAAACCTGCTGTGGTTTCATCTATACAAACAAAATAAAGCCACTTCCAAATGAGAAGTGCAATACTGTATTTGTGCTCTGGTGACACAGTGGTTACATGCTCAACTTTTCACAGAACGTGCTCAGCAGTTTGAACCTCAGAAACCCTATGGGGCAGTTCTACTCTGTCCTGTAGGGACACAATAACCTGGGTAGCAATGACTTTAGGGTTTGTTTTAGGATATTTACCAACTTTGATGAGTCTTCGTTTAAAAACAGAACCAGAATAAATCTCATTTTCTAATCACTGCAGTAAAACCAAACATTAAGAGGAAAATATCAACGGTGTAAAACTCTCCAAACAGGAGTTAAAGTGAAAACGACAATAACGAACTGAGACTCATCAATGAGAACATTATATACAGAAAGTACAAAATGTTGAAATGTGATCAAAGCTAGACTTAGGGAAAATACTGAGGCCTTAAACAACAAAAGAATTAAAATCCACTATGCTGATTATTTACTGAAAGCACATTCTATACAAGCCTGCCTTTTAAATATATTTCCTTCCATTTTTATAGTGCCTATTAGGTAGGACAAAGAGCCCTAGTGGTGAAGGGGTTACGTGTTGGACTGCTACTGGGAAGGTCAGCAGTTCTCAACCACTGGTCACTGACCAGGAAAAAAATGAGGCTTTCTACTCCTGTAAGGATTTACAGTCTCAGAAACCCACAGTGGCAGTTCTACCCTGTCCTATAGGGTTGCTATGAGTTAGAATCAACTCAGTGGTAGTTTGAGTATTAGGTGAGTACTGTTTTTTGCCTTTTATGGTACTTATGAAATAGAACTGTATTTTGCCCTTGTTTTTCAAATGCTCCTAAGTATATAATTAGGCATATCCATGCAATGTTCCAACTATATTACAAGTTTCTAAGAACTAGTCACATGCTTCTTGATTTAATGGCATACTATTTATTAATCCTTAGTGTGTGTAGGGCACTATAATGGATGAAAATAGATGTTCACTACTCTGAAAAAATTCAGCTGTGTGCATTTATGATATAGATTGGGAGAATGCAGTTCATCTTATACTCACAATTTATCCTAATAGTGAAAATGGGACTGTATTACATGCTAAAAACAAACAAACAAATAAAAAAGCAAGAATGCGTAAACAGCATTGCGACTGCACGAGGAAAGATTGAAGCAAGAAGTGCTTATACATATCCACTTTATTAAAATATTGCATAGATACAGAGCAGTTGGGCAAAACCATTCTAAGGCACTGTTCTGGTTTGAGTGCAAGTTCACAAAAGAGATAAGAGAAGCCATTACATTCAGCGTTTTTTCATTTCTACATTCAGACTCCTCCCGTGAGATATGTTTATTGCTACTGGGGTTCTGATTTTTAACTCTAGAAATATAGCAGCATCATACAGGGACCTGGTTGACATGACTCCTGGCTCAAGCACTTGGTATAATTTGGCACTTAATTATAAACTCTTTTGTATTGTTCTCTGTTTGTTTCCAAACTCTTGTTTAACTACAGATTATAAAGTCTTTATGAGCCTGATCCTTACTTTTATTTATAAGCTTCCATGTGGCTTACAACAGGGTTAGATACATAATAGATACTGAGCAATACAAGTACTGACATTGGTAATCACTTCTCATAACTTTAATAGGAGAGATGGACTTTCTCTGACTCTACTGTAAAGATGATTGGCTGTCTTCATGAAGAGAAAATGCTTGGATGTTCTATTTCTTTAAACAGAAGCCAGGGTCAGTAAGTATTTCCACATAAGTTTTATCTGATAAGAGAGTTCCTTCCTCACTTGTGTACCATAGAACATTTAGTTCTGCAAATACATTTGGGAAATGTGTCATGCTGTCTGTCCTGGTACACAAGAGAATTTAAGATGTTATCTTGATCATATGAGAACATTAATATGTGAGAACATTTAGGTGCTTGTGTGTATGTGTCTGTATTTTAAGTAAAATTCAGAGATTGAGAACCACTGGTCAACTTATAAATTATCTTATTTAGTGACCCTCATCGTTTGAAAGTGATGTGTGTGTTACACAAAAGAATTTTTTGTGACTTCTCTTGAGATACCTGGAGATAAATAGGCTTGGGAGCAACAAATCTATTTTGATGGGTAATCATGTTTAGGACAGTTTGTTCTGAGGAATATTTGCAGAATAATGCTTCTGTGGGTGTGTATGAAAACCTCTTCCGGTGTCAAATATGTTTGGAAAAGATTTCAAAAAAAGTTATTTGTTTTTATTCTTTTACTAGATCTCTCAAAGATTCTCATATGCTGATGTGGAGGAAGAGTCTATAAAGGACAGACAGCATGACACATTTCCCAAATGTATTTGCAGAACTAAATGTTCTATGGTACACATTTTGGGAGCACTGGATTAAAGAAGGCATATGATTTCAGACGCTTCAAAAGACACAAAAGCAAAGAAGAGCAAAAAGAATAGATTCTGGTTCCTCAGTCCAACTAGACTAAATAGGATTGTACTTCAACTGTCAAGTGAATTCTTCTAGCTAGAGACCTTATTTATTCTATGGCACACATCAATCATCAAATTAACTCAGCTCTAAACAGCACTACCACAGGCCACTGATGGTGCTGTGGGTTACACATTGGGCTGCTAACCACAAGGTTGGTGGTTCAAATCCACCATCTGGTTGTCAGGAAAAAGATGAAGTTGTCTGGTCCCATAAGATTTCCTCTAGTTCCTAAATGCTTCCTCCCCCCGACTATCATGATCCCAATTCTACTTTACAAATCCGGCTAGACCAGAGGATGTACACTGGTACAGATAGGAACTGGAAACACAGCGAATCCAGGGCGGATGATCCCTGCAGGACCAGTGGTGTGAATGGCGATACTGGGAGGGTGGAGGGAAGGTGGGTTGGAAAGAGGGAACTGATTATAAGGATCTATACGTGACCTCCTCCCTGGGGGACAGACAACAGAAAGTGGGTGAAGGGAGACGTCGGACAGGGCAAGATATAACAAAATAATAATTTATAAATTATCAAGGGTTCATGAGGAAGGGGGGAGCAGGGAGGGAGGGGAAAATGAGGACCTAATGCCGGGGGCTCAGGTGGAGAGGAAACGTGTTGAGAATGATGAGGGCAATGAATGTACAAATGTGCTTTACACAATTGATGTGTGTATGGATTGTGATAAGAGTCGTCTGAGCCCCTAATAAAACGATTAAAATTTTTTTTAAGTTTCAGAAACCCTATGTAGGGTCACTATGAGTTGCAATCAATTCAATGGCAGTGGATTTGGTTTCTCTGTTGTTGTCTTTTGGCCACCTAAACAGTATAGCAAAATTTTCAACATTGCAAATGTTATTACTTTGATTTTCTTAACTATATGTTTTTTAAGAATCATCAATGAGAACAATACAGTTCTTACTAGGTAAATGTCATTCATTCCAGCTTTGTGTTCTAGATACATTTTTGTAGTTTGATCAACTTAACTGTCTCTTATCTTTTCACCTGCCTTGAACTAATTAATATATTCATCTTTGATAACCACACAGGAAAGTAATTGCAGTACTGCTACGATATGTCTGGCAGACTTGGTTTGACAAAGACAACCCATTCTACTGATCCTATAGCTGACAAGAATGTCATCCCCGACATGCTTTACACTTACACCTATGATATGGTTGGACGATTGGCTTGGTACACACAAAAATTTCATTGTAATGGAAAGATAAAATTGTAGAGACAATCAAAATCAAAGCTTGGAAAGATGCAAGAGTTGGTAGATACTCTAAAACTTGTATGCCTTGGAAGAGGAGTTTTAAGTTGGGGGAGGGGGAGCTGATCGTAAAAGCTAAAAACGAAACAAATTGTCCCTTCTAAGACAAACAGGTTCTACTTCTCTGAGTTAGTGCCAATTTCGGCAGGACCTGTTTTCTTCAACAGTTCTTAAAGAAATCTTCCCTAAAGTGAGTGACTTGGTGCATAATAAGGCCTGCTCTTTGTCTGAAGCTTTTGGAACAATGGCTACACTTATAAGGCTTCTCTCCTGTGTGAATTCTCAAGTGAATAACAAGGCTTGGCCTCTGTCTAAAGCTTTTCCCACAGTAATTGCATTTAAAAGGTCTCTCTTCCGTGTGAGTTCTCTGGTGCAGAGTAAGAGCAGTCAGTCGAATAAAACTTTTCCCACAACTGTGGCATCTGTGAGGTTTTTCACCAGAATGAGTTTTCAGATGTCTTTTAAGACTAGATCCGTGACAAAAACTTTTCCCACACTCCAGGCATTTGTAGGTTTCTTCTTCAGAATGGGTTCTCTCGTGCCCTATAAGGTGCGATCGTCGAGTGAATCGCTTTTTACACACAGTGCATTCATAGGGCCTCTCCCCAGTGTGAAGCCGTTGATGCCTATAAAGGTCGGAACTCCGAAGGAAACTTTTCCCACATTCAGGACACTTGTGAGGTTCTTCTCCAGAGTGAATTCTCTGGTGCCCGGTCAGTTGTGACTTCCGAGCAAAACATTTCCCGCACTGAGAACATCGGTGAGGTTTCTCGCCTGGATTCTTTTTCTTATGGGGTCTAGGGGCAACAGGTTCTTCCAGATTGGCACTCTCAGGTTGCTCTCCTGTAGCGTTGTTCTGAGGATTTACAAGCTTGGCTAAATCTGTCTGTAGCTCCTCGGGAGGTGGTTCCCATGGATTTTCTAGCGGTTCATAGTCTTTTTGCAAAATGGGACCGTGTAGAGCGTTTCCCTCTAATGTCACAACAAATGGGTACATATTCTCCATCTTACTCTGCTTTGAAGACTCTTCTTCATTTTCTCTCTCAATATCAAAACCTGAGAAAACAAACAGAAATTCCATCTAGCATAAGGTGACCAGACGTCCCGCTTTTGGCGGGACAGTCACGACTTTTAATATTTTTTCCCATGGCCCGTGGCGTTTTTAAAAAGTCCCGATTTTTGGGAAGAATGCACGACAAGCTAGGGTATACGGTTTTCGGCTGCCATGTGGCTATTTGGCCAGGATATGAGTTTTATCAATGGTGTCCCACTCTACCAATGTTACAATCTGGTCACCTTAATTATCACCATGTTCTAAGGAAAATAGGAAAGGAAGAAGAGTTATATGGAACTACTAGTTGGAAGACTTTCCCCGGATGGAAGCCTTGGTCTTCCATAATAGTCACTGGACAATTACTTACCTAACTTGGGATCAAGTAATTGTTTCATTTCTTTGGAGTCTTGTAATTCCTTCACCCATGACTCTTCTCTGTGCTCCAATGGCAAGTTCAGGTCAAGCTTTAGTATTGGATATCCTGGTCACAAGAAAGATAGGAAGCAGGAGTTAGGCTCATCGAAGGTTTTTACAGAGTTTAAGCTGCTCGATTTCTTGCTCAAACAGGCTCTTGATATCTATTCCCTTCTCAATTGGGATTAGTTCCTCCAGAGCCCCACAGTGTTTCCTTGTTGCTTGAAATGAGAAAACCTAACCAAAATGAGAGGGAGATCCTTCTGTATTCAATTCAAGGTGGTCCTCTAACCTGAATGACTAAATTCTGTGCTAAAATCAATGCATGAGTTTAGTTCCACATTGTTTTCGATAACAGAATTAGTTCAGTTAGGGCCAAAATTGGATGTGAATCTATCTAAAATTTGGCATACCGAAATTGAGAAGCATTTTGTTACTAAGTACCAAATGAGGCGAGCAAAAGTTCCCTGCAACCAGAACGATTTCAGCGAAGAGATTTTCAAATACAAATGAAAACTGAATTAGGTTGACAACCTGCCAAACAGTCTTTAGATGTTCTTTTCCCCTGGAAATTTGAAAGGGGCTTATCTTGACCTTCACCCAAATAATTCGCAGTGTTTCTGTCCATCTAAAGACAGCAAAGAACATCTGCTCCCACTCACTCTGCCCTGGTGACCTGCTAGCCCTCTCCTCGCTGCACTGACAGCAGTTACAGCGGGAATCGGCCTTTCACACCTTTCCTCTGCTTTCTCCTGCCTGGCTAAGTGTGCCAGTCGACAGTAACACGTAGTTTGGAAAATGCCAATTTATATGTCAGGAAGGAGAGAAACGTCCAGCATGCCAGTGTGAGCAGCTCTGAAGTGAACCAGGGGGAACTGCTTTTTTTTTTTTTTTTTCAAAAAACAACAACACTTTTGAAGTCCTTTGAAAATGGTCCTAAGGACATACAATGGAAGAAACATCCATTTGAGGAAAGCTACTGAGATGTTGTACTAACTGCAAAAGGATGAAATCATTGAGTCCAGATTTTTCTCTTTCTCACTCAGCCAGATTAGAAGCTCCTACCCAGAGTTGTACAGTCAAGGGAAGAAAGACTCTTTCTTCTTCCCAGAAGAGGCAGGATGTTCTTACTGCTTATCTTGGCCCCAGCTACTGTTGCAATTGTTGGGGACTGCCGAGGTAGCTCTGACTCACAGTGACCTTGTGTGTGGTAGAATGAAACATTGCCTAATCCTAACCCATCCTCACAGTAATGTGTTTGAGCCCACTGGCGCAGCCATTGTGTCATCTTTTTCGAGTGTGTTCTTCTTGTTTGCGTTTCCTAGCATGATGTCTGTCTCCAAGGAGCTACCTGTTTTTGTTAGGTGTTATCGACTCGGTTTGCAAGCCATAGCGGCCCTATGTATAACAGAAGGAAACACCACCTGGTCCCGCACCATCCTCACCATTGCTTTTATGTTGGAGCCCATGGTTTCAGCCACCGTGTCTACTCATTCCCTGAGGGCCTTCCGCTTTTGCATCACCCTGCAACTTTACCAGACAGGATGTCTTTCTCCAGGGACTGGTCTCTCCTGACCACATGTCCAAAGCATGCAAGACAAAGTCTTGCCATCCTTGTCTCTAAGGAGCACTCTGGCCGTACTTCTTTCAAGACAGGCTGGTTTGTCATGTGAGCAGTCTTTCTAGCTACCCGTTACTGAGCTTAAATGCTAGGCAAATATTACCAAGAGGCAGGGGCTGTTTTTCACCCAGCATCCAGCAGTGGGATGAAGGCCCAATCTGAAAAACAGTGGTTCCATACCAGGCAAGGAAAGCCAAGAAGACTTTGGGCTACTGTCCCCTCCCCTCTAGCTAGCACTTAGTTGCTAAAGCAGCAGTGAAAATAGTTCTGGTGCTCCCACCTTCAGCTGCAGTTATGACCCAGAGATTTTGCCGGGGGGATTAGCAGACCATAAAGCAGGTAACTGGTAATTCTCTTCTCCGTCCAATTGGATTAATTTTTAACAGCGCACGGAGATGTCCAAGACTAAGGGGCCCCTTAAAAGGAGTGGAGGTCATCCTGAAAGCAATGGTAGATAGACTGGAGACATAAGCTCCACAGTCGGAGGTTGGGTTATAGGGGGAGACCCAGAGAGACAACTGGGATGAGCACTCTTGAGGTCAAAACAAATCTCTGAACTGGCCCTTGATTAGTATCCTTTCTTCTTCCCACAACCCTTCTGTAAGGGGGTGTGCAATTGCTTACAGATGGGAGGGGGAGGAACAAATGAGGAGCTGATACCAAGGGCTCAAGTAGAAAGAAAATGCTTTGAAAATGATGATGGCAACATATGTACAAATGTACCTGACATAATGGATGTATGTATGGAGTGTGATAAGAGTTATAAGAGCCCCCAATAAAATGATTTAAAAAAAAAAGGAAAAAGGGAAAAGGGGCAACCATAAAAAAAGAGAACTATCCTTTCGAAGGAAACTGAATTTCATTGGGTTAGTCTGTATAGAAAGTAATGCTGTGGGCATTGTTGGAATCATGGAAACCATCAGGTGACAGTGGAGCTTAACAGCTGGATCTGGTCCCTTGCAAGAGAGGAAGGAGCCCTGGCAAAATCATGGTCCACCTCCAAGTGGCTGTGGACATACCCAAGATACAATATCAGAAGGTAAAGTCTACAGAAGGGGAAACCTATCACTAAAAGCTTCCAGTCACTAAACAAGCAGCAAATAATAATGACATGGCCCAGGGGCAAGCACACTGTTACCACAACGTTTAGTGTCCAACAAAAAAGAGACATGGATGTGATCAGGAAAATGTCATCCACACAGTGGGGGGCAGGAGGGAGAAGCAGCCAACAGAAATAGGTTATGAGAACAACCTGATTAAAAGACAAAGTTTTCCAAAAAGCTACTAAAAATGTGCTAAAGAACGGCAGGAAACCATGATCGAAAAAGGTAAAGGAACAAATGAATGCAAAGTCACATCAGAGAATATCCATAGCGAAATTAAAAATTATAATAAAGAACCAAAAGGAAGTTCTGGAGTGGAATAAATGAAATGGGGGATAGTGGGGGGAAAATCATTAAGTAGCTTACCCAAACCAAGCCAAGCTCACTGCCATTGCATAGATTCTAACCCACAGTGACCCCATAGGACCGGATAGAACTGCGCTTATGGGTTTCCAAGACTGTAGCTCTATGTGAGTAGAAAACGTCGTCTTTCTCCCAAGGAGCTGCTGGTGGTTGCAAACTGCTGGCGGGCGATTAGCAGACCCAGTTGTAACCACTATATGTCACCAGGGCTCCTTGAGCAGCACAACAGTAAGTCTCAATTGCCAGAAGACAGAATTAATGAATGTGAAGATAGATTTTTTTCTCTTTAATTGAAGATAAATTTATGGGGATTATACAATCAGAAGAAATGAAAAAAGACAAAGAATAGAGCCTTAGAGAAATGTGGGACACCATTAAGTGCAGCATTTGATTCAAGGGCAGTAAGACTAGTACTAACTAGTAATAACAGAAGCAGGAGCAGAAAGAAGCATTAGAATAAATAATAGCAGAAAATGTTAATCATATAGGATGTCTTTTGCTCAGAATATAATCAAGAACAAGGGTCGGAAAACTTTTCAGAGGGAAGAGTCCATCCTGTCCCTCACAATTTGTAAGTTATTTGAGAGCCATAAATATATTTTAAAACGAAATCACCGCAATCTGAATAATATCCGTTAAATGAAACGATGATTGTTTTCTGTTCATTTCCAATTTTATTTCAGAGTCACATGGCCGTACTGCAAGGGCCACAAATGGCTCCTGAGACACAGTTTGCAGACCCTATCTCTAGAATATTAGCTTCCCAGTTATGATAATGTAATGCCTATGATATTAAACATATCTTGTGGTTATAGCCATGAAATCTATCATAGGCATACTCAGTTTGACCCAACTGAAGAAATTTTGTGGAAAGTAAAAGATTAGTAGGGGCAGTGAAGAATGGGGATGTGTGGGAGTTTTAAAATATGCCCTCCAATATTTTGATAGCCGTCCCTTCAAAAGGTAGAGCGTGTATGTCTCCTCCCCTTAAGGATGGCTTGGGCTCAGTGACCCTGCTACGGAATAGAGTGGAAATGCTGGTTTGTGACTAGGATCATCAAGAGCATTCATTACAGGAGAAGCCTGCTACCCACAACATGAGGACACACAGATGGAAAAGACCACTTGATGGGGGACTGAGGCCTCCTGGGGGGTGCGAATGGTTCCCACACTCAGCTGCTAACTAAAAGGTCGACCGTTTGAGTCCACCCAGAGGCACCGCGGAAAAAAGATGTAACACGCTACTTCTGGTAAACTAGCCATTCAAAATCCTCTGGAACACAGGTCTAGTCTGACACATACAGGGAGACTCAACAACTGGTCCCAGCATCCAGGTGGTGAGTCATCTTGAAAGTGCAGCCTCCAGCCCCAGTCAAGCCTTCAGATGGCCTACAGCCCCTGGTGACATCTTGAAAACAACCACAAGAGGGATTGAGTCAGAAATACCCAAGTCCTGAGCTCGAAAATAATAAACATTCATTAAACTGCTGCATTGTGAGGGTAATTGGTCAGAGAGTAAGAGATACCTGAAACAGAGGGAAAAGCAGGTTAACAAAGGTGCTTCAGCGATGAATGTTCCCCCCACCCCATGCCCAAGGAATGCCTTTATTCTAGCTCCCTTATCAAATACTCTGTCAGAGGGGCTCCACTGTATCAAGAGCTATTATCATTATTACTATTGTAGGGGTGGGAGGACTGAAAATTGGCTTTTACCGTATATTAGTTCATAGAGCAAGGAAATCTGAAGTCATTGAAGTTCTACAAATCTTCTGACGCTTTGCAGATTGCATTTGTTTATTCTATATTTTGCTTTAAATGAATCATTTCTCATATCCTTTATTTTGGTTTAAGGAGCCCTGGTGACACAGTGGGTTCTGTATTGGGCAGCTGACCAAAAGGTCGGCAGTTGGAAACCACCAGCCACTCCATGGGAGAAAGATGAAGCTTTCTGCTGTCACAAAGCTTTACAGACCCAGAAACTATAGGGAAACAGTTCTACCCTGTCCTGTAGGGTCAATATGCGTCAGAATTGACTCAATGGCAGTGAGTTTCATTTTGTTTGGGTTTAAAAAAATATTTTAGTAAATACTTTTATTGGGACTCTTACATCTCTTATCACAATCCATACATCCATCCAGTGTGTCAAGCACCTTTGTACATATGCCGCCATCATCATTTTCAAAGCATTCTCTTCCCACTTGAGCCCCTGATATCAGCTCATTTCTTCCCCCTCCCTCCCCCGTTTGCCCTCCCTCAGGAACCCTTGATAAGTTAAATTATTATTTTCATATCTTACACCATCCGCCGTCTCCCCTCACCCACTTTTCCATTGTTCGTCCCCCTGAGAGGGGGTTCTAGGTTGATGCTTGTGATCGATTCCCCTTTTTGCTCCCCCCACCTTCCCTAATCCTCCTGGTATCTCTACTCTCCTTGTTGGCCCTGAAGGGTTTATCTATCCTGGATTCCCTGTGCTGCGGGTTCTTGTCTGTAGCAGTGTGCATGCTCTGGTCTAATCTGATTTGTAAGGTTGTTCCCCCCCCCTTGTGTTTTGGTTTAACTTTTTATTTCTCGTGACCTTTGGCCTTTTGGGTATGACGCTCTTGTGAAACCTAATCAATTGAAATTAAAAACGCCTAGAGTTGATAACTGACAATGGTTCCAATGTGGGTGTTCTAAGTTTGAACCCCACATTTTCAAAATAAAAGTGTGATAGATTTTATGTTCTTAGGTCCAGCAGTTCCTGATTCTGCTTGCAAACATTCTAATATGATTGCCTACCTCCAACATCTGGAAATGTCTGGCTTGGGTTCAAATGAAGATTTTTGTTATGCTTATGTCTTTCTTGGCTCCCTTTCCCTTGCAGAAATGAAATTCTCCACAGTTTGCATCATACTCATTTCAGCTCCTTCTCGATGGCCGTTCTTTTAACTAAGAAACATTCATTGTATATTATTCATGTTTTATAGGCTTTCTGTTCTACTAGCAAACCGTACAAACACACCAATAGTTTCCCTTCATTGCTGACACTTCTATTACCTGACTTAGAAAGACTGCATCGCCTGATGTTTACAAGACTGTGATTTTAGCTTGTTGTCTTTAGGGAAGAAGGACCACGATCATCTTACTTTAACAAGACCTGGATTTCTGATTTCTCTTTTAAGGTTATTTTGTTCGTTTCACACAGTACAGCCTCTCATATGACAGAAGTGACCCTGAACTTCCTCTACTCAGTCTTGTTTTGATTCTCTCCATTGGCTCCTTGTACACAGACAGGCACCTGACACATCAAAGGTTTCCACAAATGATTGTTAGAATGGTTCATACATTTTCAGTTCACCACATTGACTGATTAATGCCTTATTAAACAAAATTAGCTTAGACTTCTGGCTAATCCGTGGATATAAGCTTCCTTTAAATATGTACTAATAGGCATTTTGCGAAATGCAAAAGCAATTTTCATCTGAGTGGTTGTTTTCTGATGAATAGATATGAAAAGGCTTCAAAAGGGTTGTGAAGAAAAATGCCATTATCTTTTAACTCCATTTTACCACAACCTTTTGGAAGTCCCCTCACATGCGTTATATGTGTGTGCGCATGCGCGCACATGTTCATTTCATATACCCAACAATGTACTGTTCTGTGATAAAATAACTGCTTTGAATAAAATACATTCCATATTTTAATATACATAAAATGAAATCTAGTTTTTTCCTCGCTGTTTAAAATTTTCCCCCTTTTTTCTGCCAGCATTCGGTGTTCTCCCCTCAGTTTATAAAAGGATTTGCTTCAGATAATATACCTGTGTTTTCATCTTTTTTTTTTAAAGAGCAAAAATGTAATCTTTAAAAGAATAACTCTTGCATTTTTCAAAGCAAATGGTGATGTGAAAAGGATACTTTTCCCTTCTCCAATTTATATTTTTTATTTGTTTAATGAATTCATCTTATGTAGCCCTTATTAAATGCATTGAATTTCCATGTGCTCTGGTGGCAAAGTGGTTTGGGCTGCTAACCTCAAAGTCAGCAGTTTTAAACAACCAGCTGCTCCACGGGAGAAAGACCAGGTTTTCTACTCCCATAAAAAGCTACAGTCCCAGAAACTCACAGGGGCAGTTCTGCCCTGTCCTATAGGGTCACTATGAGTCGCCCTTGATTCAATGGCAGTAAGTTTGGTTTGGCTGGGTATGCAGAGGCCAAGCCTCTCTCTCCAGGTGGAATGAGGTCTTTACCCTAAAAGGTGAGATGATTCCCTTTACTCCAGTGAGCCAGGCACTAGGAGAGGGAGATGGCTCTCACACTGGAAGCCAGAGGGATGGGAAAGCAAGTATCAGAGCCTGAAGGTGCTTGGCATCAACAGGAAATACAGCCACTATAAGGTGACCAGATTTTAACATTGGTAAAGCGGGACAAAAGCGGGACACCATTGATAAAACTCATATCCTGGCTGGCGAAATAGCCACATGGCAGCCGAAAACCGTATACCCTAGTTTGTCGTGCATTCTTTCTAAAAATTGGGATTTTCTTAAAACGCCACAGGCCATGGGAAAAATTGTTAAAAATTGGGACTGTCCCACCAAAAGCAGGACGTCTGGTCACCTTACACTACTATCAAGTGGCTTGGATGGCACTGGGAAGCAAGAACCCAAATCATGTACCTGAAAAGTTGTACAGATCATTGAACTCACGTATAATGATCTTGTCTGGCATGCCATCTCCCAGGGTCTGCCCATGGGCCCTTGTGCTTTCTGCTGCTGTACAATCCTTGGAAGTTCAGGACTAGCCATGAGACTTCAATCACCTTTGAGTTGCAAATTGCTACCTTGAGTCCTGATCTCTCTCCTGAGCTCTCTTCCACACGGGCCATTTCTATTGGGAGACCCATAAGCACCTCAACTCCACACGCTCCAATCTAAACTCACCTTAACCCACTAAATCGCCTCCTCTGTGTACTCTGTCGTGTGCCAGTGGATAATATACCATCCACCCAGTTCATGAGACAGGAAGTTGGACACTGTCCCAAATCCTTTTTCTTCCTTATGCAACACCTACCATCTACCACCAAGTCCTATAATTTCTACATGCGAAATTTATTTTGAAATGGCCAGAGGGGGTGTCAATTCCATCATCACCAACATGACCCTAGTTTAGAAAATGATCCCTCTTCTGTGAAAGACTCCTGCTCAAAGGGAAGGAAAATGCAGACGACACATCTAAATGATCATGGACTCTGGACTCTCTGGAGCCACGGAGGCTGGATGAACTCCTGAAAGAATTGCAATGTAAGGATTACACGGGGAACTTAGGGAATAATCAGTTGATGTTAATGGGGGCAGAACCATTCGGAAAAGGACATGGGTGAGAACAGCTTACAAAAGTTCAAGAAGGCAATCAATGCCAATGAAGTAAGCATGTAGAAACTGGTGAATTGGTGTATGATCTGTATATATTCTCAACAACAGTAACACACACACACACACACACACAATAAAACAAAAACCCTAACAGAAGCCTCTTGCCTTACCTGGCTCAGGAAAGCGCGGACACTCCCCAACACCACCATAGTTCAGATTCTGTGGCTCTACCTGTGGGACCCACGCCTCTGCCACTGTGACCTCCTGGGAAGGTCCTGGGATGTGGACCTCAGGTGACTCCACATGGAGGTTTGGTGGCAGGTGTGCTGTTCCCACTGGTGCTAATTCTTCCAAGCACATCTCTTGCCTCCCGACCTGGAGGAGATGACAGGACCCATCACTCTAACGTCCAGAACAGCACTGTCCAGTTGAAACATAACACCAGTCACATGGCACTTTACATTTTCTAGGCCAGATGAAAATGATGGAAAGAAATAGCAAAGCTCAGGCTCAGTAGCATGTTTACTGATCTCAGAAAGTCCTGAGTGTCATGAATTCAACAGGTAATCAGTGTAAGTTCTAAAGGAGGCATCTTACACACTTTTTTACACATAAGTACTTTGGGTTCTGCTCCACAGTTCACCCTTACCCATATGTTGGTGTGGACTGGCCACATCTCAAGCGAGAAAGAGTCACATCCCACTAGCGGCCATAGTATCTGTTAAACAAATCTGACCCATACAAAGCTAATGTCTCATTGAATTATCAAAATCTGGAAGAGAGAGAGAGGTGGTGAACCCCAAAGCCTTCCTATCCTAGCACAGCAGAACACTCTGGAAGACGCCTCCCCATTGGGGCAGGAGACCTATGCTGGAGCACACAGCTACTGCACAGCCCCACTGAGGCATGTACTGCTGGGCCCCTGCTGCCCACCTAGCAGACCTGCCTGCTTCCCCCAGATGTCCTGGACTGGCCTCAGCTCAAACCCTGCCCAGGCAGAGGTTTCACAGAGGGGCTCTCGGCAGAGGACAGTGCCAGTCCCAGCCCTCCAAGGCAGGTTGTATGGGGTGGCAGCTGGTAGCTGCTGGAATCTTCCGTGAAGGCACAGTTGAGGATGATGTTCTTAAGGCAGAACTGTGCCACGTCCCAAACAACTTTAAGCGGTTGCCCTGAGACATCCACAGAGATAAGAAGAAGCTGTCTGGTATTAAGGAACCCTGGTGGCGGGCTGGTTATGCACTGGGCTGCTAACTGCCAGGTCAGCAGTTTAACACCACCAGTGGACCAGATCAACAGGATCCTTGTGAGTCACCACCATAGCCAGAGTAATGAGTCTGCTGGGGTGTGTGTGTGTGTGGTCTGTTACCACATAACTTGAATTTTCTAGGACTGTACTACCGTGAAACTCAAAGGAGGGATACCTTACCATTTTTGCTCAGACAGCTACAGGGGGCTGTCTGGGAAATCGCATGGCCAACAGCAGCGCTCTTTGAGCTCTACCAGCCTGGATGTCCGGTTGTCCCTTTCACAATGATTCTAGGCAGAGAGGAGGCCGTCCGAGGACGCCCCCAGCCCTTAAGGCACAGACAGGCCCCAAAGGTATATACTGAAAGACAGCTTGATGGTGGTGGTGGTAGCTGTCAGGTCAGTTCCCTCTCACAGAGACACCAGCGGTATATACTAAGCTGGTGAGTTTCTTTTAACTCTTGCTTTAGATTCCAGATAGACTCTACTTGAATCTGTGGTTGTGGAGATTTTTTTTTCTAGAAAGGACCAGAAATGAAATATTTTCATCTTTGTGGCTACATTTGACATGTCAAATGATCTCTAACACTTAAGTAGCTCCTCTAAAGAGGTAAAACTCACAGCTGTACAGAAGTAGGCCTTGAACTAGGTTTGCAACCAGGGCCATGGACTATTTTATTGATGTTCAGTTGATGTATGCATATGTTACATTGTCTCTAAAATTCACTTCAGCAGCGTCAAGGAGATATTGCCAAATAATTGTGTTAAGACTGAGTTTGGTTCTGAGTTCAGCAGAAGAAAAGGTGAATAGGACTTAGGGGCGCAGGGGAAAGTAGAGGAGGACAAGCTGAAGAATACCATAAAGACTAAATATCTGGGCTAGTCCCAGTAACTGCCTGAGTGACTTCTTTTGGTCGAATGACAGGGACTCCCCTGCTTGTCGCTTGTTCTCACCTGCTGCTCTGGTATCTCAAGTTCTCTCTGTAAGTCTTCTATCAGAGCCACAACTCTTTCTCTATTCTCTGGGCAGTGTTCTCTCACCCAGGTCTCTATCTCCGTGGGCAGAATAGTTAAAAACTGCTCCAACACAAGCAGCTCCAAGATTTGTTCTTTAGAACGCATCTTTGGCTTCAACCACTGACAGCAAAGCTCCCAGAGTTTGTTGAAAGCTTCATGAGGCCCGGCCGCTTCTTGGTATTGGAATTGCCTGAAGCGCTGACGGAAGACTTCACAGTCAGTATCATACTCTTCAAGCATGAAGCCCTGATTCAAGGAGGCCTGGATTGCACAGCCCAGGGCCACAGCCATCGCTCCCTTCCGGCAGCTTACAACTTAGCTGGGACCTGAAGTCTGAGATTCCAATGTGTGTCTCTAATAGTCGGGTGTCACCTACAGCTGAGGATAGGAAAAATATAAGAAAGTAGAAACAGCGGTGGTTACACGAGGGCATACTTACTTCGACAGCCTTTAAATCCCGTAACTTACTTTGGTTTTTCTCTCTGTGACTTAGCAAATTAAACGTTATTTCTTGTTCCCAGCACAGTTCCAATCATTGGTCTGCAAGTAGCACTCCACAGGGTGTTTCAGGAAATCTGGATCCATTTTCCCCTTACCTTACTTTGCATCAAAGCCCTAAAGCAGCAGTTCTTAAACTGTTTGGTGGTTTTGAGAATCAGATGCAAGGTGCTGACCCACTTCCTATAAAAATACACATACACAGCCACTTCGATGCACACCATTCAACGTCAAAAGGTTTACACCGTCTCCAAACCCACCCGTCCATGGGCCTTCTAGAACTGTGCTCTCTATTCTGGTAGGCACTAACTCCAAGTGGCTCCGCTTCCATTGATGAAGATAAAGAATGTTGGTCTTTGACCACACTAGCCACATTGCAAGGGCTCAACATCCTCAGGATTGGATAGCTCCATGCTCAAATTCCACAGACTGCCCATTAAGAACTCCCGGCTCTTAAGGAACCAGTATACACCTGTGGCCCTTTAACTTTATTTCCAGTCAAACACCAATTGTACTGTTTTTGTTTTTGAACATAGGGAGATCTCATGCTAACAATATTTTCGAGTCATCTGAAATGTCCCCCTAGGTTTAAGTTCCTCTTAATAAATCTTTAATCAGAGAGACCATAGGTAGAGCCATGCTTTGGAAAGGGCAGCAAATCCCCAATCCCTCTTCCTGTCATCTTGAGGAACGTGCAGCTCTGCAAACCTTCCCACACCAGCCCCTCCTCTCGCAATAACCTTCCTAGTGTACGGCAATAAGGCAGGCCATCAGGAACCTGCTCTACACACATTTATTGAGCTCGTACTATGTGCCAGGCATGGATCCAAGCAGTCTGCATCTGCGAGCTCTTTTCTTATCTCCTGGCATTAGGAGGGGTTTACTCTCAAAAGCCAGGTGAAAGACTGCCGTTTGAGGCTTGGCAGCCCCAAGGAGCTTGTCCAGAAAATCCGAGTGAATGCCAGGGAAAACTAGTCATGGGGCTAGGACTTATAATTCCCCAGAAATGAAAATGTCTAAAAGCATCGCAATGTTCAGAGGGGGATCTGAGGTCATAGAGGTGGTCACACCTATATGTCGAAACAAGCCCTTGTGCTGAGTCTTTCGTGCTGTGACAGCACTGTCTTGGTTCGTGGAGTGCAACAAGTGCGAGAAAACCAAAAGTAACCCCCACAACTCAGGATTCTCTTCTTAGCTCCCCCGCCAACCCCGACATGCTACTCCCACTTCACCCATTACCATGAAGAGGGCCTGAACGGTAGCAACAGTGACATCCCGGTTCTAGTTACCTGTTACCTGCTAGCTGCACGGCCTTGAGCAAGTGACTTAGCTGACACCTAGTGCAGTGGGCTGTAACAAGAGAACAATAGCAGCGTGGACTGACACTGCCTCCCTTCTTGTTTGCTTGGATTTGGGTTTTACATCGTATAGTAGCGATGTTCTACATACAATATTATTTGCAGATGTTATTATTCTCAGATGTTCACTCACATTATTCAGTGATATGATTTAAAAAGATACTGACAATAAACAGCAGTGACAATGAACACTCTTTCTTTTTTAAAAAAGCGATATTTGACTTACAGCAGAACCAATTTACAACGTAGTCGTCAGACTAGAACCCCTTTGGAAGTCATGGTCCACCTGTACTTCAGAGCATCTGCTCTCCAGCTGCAACAGCAGGGAAGCGAACAGCCCGAGTGGGTGGCACCGAGTAAGGATATCGCTGTCACCTGAGGACATCTGGGAATGGTGCCAACAGGGGCTGTGGGCACACCAGTTAGCAGCTGGACCTCACAGTTGGGCAGCCTTCCCCTGACTGACCCAAGTCCATGACCACATCCACCAGGGGATGGACTATTGCAAGGCTACTGCCATAGGTCCCTCCAAATGGAAGGTCCTCCTGCGGGACTGCGGGATTCTGTCTCCCTGTCCCAGTCAAGCTCCTGGCCCCACAGGAGCAAAGAAGAAAGCTGTGTGTGCAAGGGGGATCACTTGAGGCACATCCAGAGGGACGCCTCCCAGAAAAGTTGAAACTCTGGTTTAGGAGCGGACTTCGATGGGTGGCATGGTCCCGCGTGCTCCTCAGTGGCCGCTTGCCTCTGCGAGGGGCGCCACCCACCCTGCAGGGGATTGAGAAAGGCCTGACCAGGGGGGCTGGGAGCGGCGGCCAGGATCCGGCCAGATAGGGGCTAGTCGCCCGCCGCTGCTCCCCACTGTTCCCGCCACCCCGGCCAGGGCTGGAGGCGGCCACTTCTCGAGGCCGGACGCGGCTGGCGGAGAGAGCCCTGCCAGCCCGAGCCCGCGTCCCCGCCCGCGCCCAGGGGACGGCCACGCCCTCCGTGCAGCTCCGGGACTCACCGACTCAGCACCCACGGCTCACCCACGGTCGCCGCAACTGCCTAGGGCGCAGGCGCAGAGCGGAGCTGCGGACTACATTGCCCAATGGGCTCCGCGCCACCGCCGAGGCCACGTGGGTATGAGAGAGGTGGGGTTGAAACGCCGACCTCACTCAACAAGATCTGGAGCGGCTTAGGGATAGACCGGCCTTTCTGGTCCCAAGGCCTCCAAAGCCCCAGGGGTGGGAGGGGCGGGGCGGCCAGGAAAGCTGTCTTAACTCCAATTGCCATTGGCTTGATTCATAGCGACCCTGCAGGACTGAGATCTATCTGCCCCTGGTGGGTTTCCCAGACTGTCAAATGGTTACAGGAGCAGAAAGCCTCCTCTTTCTCCCATGGAGCCACTGGTGGGTTCTAATAATTCATAGCCCTCTTCTCCAGCAAGGCTCCTGTGGAGCGGTTGGGGTCTCCTTTAAATCTGTTAGCTGCAAACTTCTAGTGCAGTGGTCCTCAACCTTCCTAATGCGGAGACCCTTTCATACAGTTCCTCATGTTGTGGTGACCCTCCAATCATAAAATTATTTTTGTTGCTACTTCATCACTGTCATTTTGCTACTGTGATGAATCGTCATGTAAAATATCTGATAGGCAGCACGTATTTTCATTGTGACAAACTGGACATAATTAAAGCATACTGATTAATCACAAAACAATATGTCGTTATAGGTTGAAATATTTGTTTCTAATGACAAATAAATGACATTTTGTCTCGAAGCATGGTGTAGCATGGGTAACAGTCTTCAGTACGGCTACTCTTCTGTGGGTGTATCTGCATGTGAGCGGACCCGCCTGGAGACTGATAGAGGAGCAGAGTCTTGGTTCCTAAGGCCATTGTAAATATATGTTTTCCGATGGTCTTAGGCAACCCCTGAAAAAGGGATGTTCAACCCCCAAAGGGGTCGTGACCCCCAGGTTGAGAACCATTATTCTATGGGGAGAATTTCTTTTTTCCCTCCAAGTTTTATTGGCATATAATTCAGATATACAATTCCATAGTCCAATCACATCTAGAGTTGTACAATCATCACCACAATTAGTTTTAGAACATTTTCTTCTTTTTTCATTCTTCATGGAGAGAGTTTCTTTGGGGAGTTTGTTCCCAATTCAGAATTTTGCCCCCTGCCCCTATGCCAACACCACCACCACCATCACCACCACACTACTACACTGAAGTACTGAGTTTTCTGGGAACTTGGAACTTCACATTTATAAGACCTGAAATTTGACCTAGTGATCTCGCTCACTCCTTTTTGACCAGTCTTCCAAACCTGGAGCCCCTCAGGCTTGGGGATTTGCTTGATGGTGACCCTCTCTTGACCGGTCTGTGAATGCACTTGCTACCTTCATGATTTGCGGGGATTCTGGAGTGGGATCTGATGGAATGGGTGCTAGATGTGATGGTATCATTTGGGAGAGGCAGTCCAAGCAGGCCCAGTTGGCCAGTATATGCCACATTGGCACACTGGACTTCAGTCATGAGGCCAAGACCGAGGAGAGATGGCAAGTGAAGACCTGTCTCAGGGAGGTCCGGTGGAAAACAGGAAAGGGGCAGTCACTGCCAAATCCTGGACAAAGGCCAGGAGAGTGGAACCAGCTGCTCCCGGGTGTTGTTGTACTCCTTGCCAGAGGTTTGGGGGTCTAGCTGACATTTCAAGCTGGAGCCCTGGGAGCTAGATGATGGAGTGGAACTCGAGGGCTCAGGAGCAGGTAGTGAAACCACAGACATGCCTACACCTAGAGCCAGGAGTTCCCCTACGTGACCCTGCCTGGCCCAGAGGCCTATCACCTGCACTTCACACAGGTGTGTTTTCAAAAGGTCCTAGGGAGCTGTCATCCTGTTCCAGGCCATTTGTCACGGTGGAAAAGCCTGAGCCGGGTGCAGAAGCTGCAGCTTGACTACGGGGAGGATGCAGCAACCCATTTGGAGGCTGCAGAGAGAATTTGGGAGGCTGAAGGAACAGGTACAAACAAATAGCAGGGTTTCTAAAACCTGGGGGCTTGGAACCCAGGACTGCAACATTAGGCTGCCCTGTTCCCTCATTCCAGGAGTCCTGGTGGCGCAGTGCTGACAATGCTCTCCTGTTAACCAGAAGGTGGAGGACTGGAGCCCACCAGCCACTGTGCATGAGAAAGACATGACAGCCTCCTTCAGAAAGATTTAGAGACTTCAGCGATCGTGTCGGGAAGGTGAGCACCACGGAATGCCAGGTTATTAGAACAAAGTGTTCTTGCGTTGAGGGAGCACTTGAGTAAAGGCCCAATGTCCACCTGCTACCTTGATACTTAACATACAAATATATGTACATAGATCTATTTCCTATCATAATATATAGATATGGTTACATATGTACATGCCTGTATTTAGACCTCTATAAATGACTTTTGCCTCCTACTTCTTTCCTCTTTCCTTTACCTTCTTCTTGTCCCACCATCATGTTCAGTCTTTATTCGGATTTC